GGGGTGCAGCGACCACCCTTCCTCTAAATAAATGAAAACTATGTAACACAGTTGTTTACACTGAAATTAAAAATATTTGACCTTAGAAAAACCGGAGCAGGACTACAGAGAGATTAATATGATTTAGATTTTTATTTCTGTGACTGTAACGATCCACAGGAGACACGACATTAACAGCAGTTGTCATTTCATTCCTTGACTTTAAAGGACACTGCTAAAAATTAAATTTTTTTTTTGTGGATCTCCGAGAACAGGTCTTCAGTCTCCGAACTCGTAACTTCTTTTCTACTTTGTGATGTCATTTATGAATGGACACGTCCTGGTATGTGGGGCAGGAAAAGTAAATCCTTGTATGGTGTTTTTGGGGTGGTAATTATGTAAATTACCTCTCCGCATGCACGAGCAGCTGGATCCGAACAGGTGTAATTCATCATGTTTACACAGCTCATTTACACACTTTTCCTGAAGATAGAAGAATTCGTTGAATCTGACGTGGCATGTTCGTACGAACCCTTCATACAAAGAAAAGTAAGAGAAATTTAGGATAAGAATATGAACATGTTCTTGCATGAGGTCCATTGTCTGTTAAATATAGCATTGAAAACAGCACACAGTAAATACACTGCCAGGCCACCCCAAAAAAGTTGCCACCAAAAATAAGTTCACACTGTAATATTTTGTTGGACCACTTGATTATGGTAGACATTTGCTGTGACATTATTTTAACAAGCTTCTGCAAAGTCACAAGTTTTATTTCCATCCAGTGTTGCATTCATTTTTTACAAAGATCTTGCATTGATGATGGAAGAGACTGACCGCTGCACAAGGCCTTCTCCAGCACATCTCAAAGATTCTCAATGGACTCCAGCCCAATGAATCCTGGAATTGTCATCTTGGAATGTGCCATCAGGGAAGAAAATAACCCATTGATGGAATAACCTGGTCATTCAAATTTATTCAGGTAGTCAGCTGACCTCATTCTTTGAGCACATACTGTTGTTCAGTGATGGGCACAAGTATGCTAAATTGCGAAACCCGCTAATTGCGGACCTAAATATTTCATTTGCGCTTTGGCGAACTTACTAATTTTTATAATTCAAAAGTGGATTTGTGCTTTCTAAAATTAAAATGCAGTACCGCTAATAAATAATTATCTACCAGACATCATTATCTTGAACAGTGGAAGGTATGGCTGTCAATGAATCACAACACACGTGATATGTCTAACAGCACCCCTCCCAGACAAACACATGTATTGGAAATGTACATCCTTCCTGACAGTTGCTCTCGGTCAGGGTTCTCATTTCCCACAATGCCTTGTGTCTGCTTACATAGCAGGAAGGCAATGTTTAGTACTAGAAAGTAAGTAAGTAAGTAAGTAAGTAAGTAAGTAAGTAAGTAAGTAAGTAAGTAAGTAAGT